TTGAATGCGGCGCGCCGAGCGTGTGTGTAAGTGTGTGAGTGTGTGCGTGCGTGCGCGAAGCGGAGCGAGACTATACGCGGAGAGTATAAGAAAGAAAAGGGAGAGAAAGAAAGAGAAACGAATGAGCGCACGAGAGAGAGAGAATTCGAAATTTAGTATTAATACCGCACTCGAAGTATCGTACCGCAATTCGTGCTGTGCTATTGTACATATTAAAAAAAAAGAGAGAGAAAAAGAGAGAGAGAGAGAGAGAGAGGAGGAGGCGGTGATGATTTTGGCAAAAATGAAGGAAAGAAAAGTTTTTCCCGATTGCACGCGAGCCATTCCCTCGCCGAACTTATTTTATTCGTTTGCGATCGAGGACGTATTTGGTTTGGTATTACCGCGTGTTACGTTATGCGATTTGTGAGGATTCATCGAGGCGGACGTTGCATTCCTCCTCGTTCGACGTCTAAGACTCTGGAGATGTTTTTTTTTTTTTTTTTTATAATTGGAAAATGAAGAATGATTCTTTGATGCAACGATCCGTCCCCGTTGAGATCCAGATCGTGTAAAGGGAGCGAATATAATTGTACTAGTCTAATGTTAAATTTAATTTCCTTGGTTTAAAAAAAAAAAAAAAAAAAAAAAAAAAAGAAAGAAAGAAAAAGCGTCCGATTCCGTAGAGAAATTGTAGAGGATATTGTCCCCGTGTTCTTGTCCCGCGTTCTTTCGGTTCCACGCGATCGACGATTCAGTTTCTCTCTGGCTAACGAATGTGCAAACTTTGGCATGCAACGAGAAAAACGAGAAAAGGATGGATGGGATGGAATAGGGTGGTCGATCGTTTTAGAAAGTCACCGCGAGAGAATCGTACCAAAATGATTAAAGAAAAGGAAAAAAAAAAAAATAATAATAATAACGACGACGACGATGATGATGATGATGATGATTATGAGGAAACGTGCGTCGATTATAAGATCATATATAGTACAAAGTAAACATATATTATTGTAATAACGATTTAATTAACTATAAGGGAGAGAGAGAGAGGGAGAGAAAGGAAGAGAGAGAGCGCGCGCGAGAGAGAGAGAGAGAGAGAGCGTCGCTGTTTTCACAATAACACGTGTGAGAAACGTTGCGCTGAAATCGTGATACATGTTTGATTCTCCGGGTTTCGATGAATATATATATATATATTTGGTTGCGTGTGCGTATCATTGGAGAAAGTGGATCGTGATGTAAAGAAAAACAAAAAAAAAAAATGATGCATGGATAATGTACGAGCGTCGAGTTTTCATGGAAGTTTCCTCGTCCACCTCGATATTTCACGACACCGCGATCGAGAATTCTTGGGATGGAAGTATGGAGAGGAAGATGATGTCGAGTATGTTGTGTCACGCGCACGATATCGTCGAGCTGAAAAATTAATGTCCAGTTAAAATGGGAAAAATTAAATAATTCAACGAGAACCGAAAGGGCCGAAGATTATAAAATAGATGGAAGAGCGAAAGTTTTCCAACGAAGATACTAATAGTTGTGAGCGATATAATCGATGAATATTAAACGAGTCAAGTTTTCCAAATGGTCGAGCAAGTTGATAAAATGGAAAATGAGGTTATCGTCGCATCGTAAGAAAGAAAGAAAGAAAGAACGCTCGCGTACGCGGTTGGTAAAACAGGAGGCGAAGAAAATGGCGACCGGGAACGGAAGAAAATCGTTGCGGCTCAATCACGTGGGAGATGTATGTGGAAAATATTGAGAGGAACCGCGGGAAGAGAGTGAAAGAACGCGACGAGAGAACCGATATGTACGATAATTCTGTAAATACGAGTTTAATTGCGATTTATTATTGATTAATTATGCTCGCGATCGCGGACGATAATTATTATTACTACAATTATTATTATTATTATTACCAGGAGTATCATCACCATTTACCATCGTCACATTTGTCACTATTATTATTACTATTATTATTATTATTATTATTATTATTACCA